TAATAATAATAATAATAATTAATAATAAAGAAATCGTGCAAATGCCTGTCTGAACAGTAGCGCGTTCAGCCAGGATTTAAAGACAGAGTCAGAGAGTCCTTTGAGTGGGGAAAGTGGACTTTTATTCTAAATAGTAGAATCGTGTGCATAAGTCGTACATTTACAGAATAAAGATGCTTTATGCCCATAAGGCGCATTCACAAAGCGGGCGGCTCGACTGAAGGATGGCTGCAGCTGGATCGCACGCCTTCTTTAAGTTTTGCTCAGAGATCCAGGATGATCAGTCTGAGCAATCTAAACGCTAATAAACCATCATCAACATTTCCCAGCAGATCAATATGATCTCTGAACAAACTCCCTCTGAATCCTTCCATTGGGGATGTTCTCCACCAGAGCCAAAGGGCTCCACAATTATGCTGCTCACCTTTGCGCAGCTACTTATACGTGTGATTGTATACACACCTTGATCACCTTAAAAATAATCAAACCTGTTGGTTATTGTTAATCAGCAGGTTTGAGTTAATCTGCTGATCCAACCACGTTTTCTTTTTTTAGTGAGAATTAAATTACCCCGCAGATGCAATTCATGTGCTTCGGCTATGGACCAATGTGTTACATCTTTATGAGACAAAAACTGAGGAAAAGTACTATTTACATTCGAGCGAGGATTTCACATACTTCTATTTTTATTTTCTTTATTTTATGTGCGTGTTAGCTTATTGTCTGAGGATAAACGCGGCTCATTTTCATCGTTTACCTTTAAGCAATAAAATATTAAAATCATGAAAAACATCGGTTTGGTGCTTCTTGGTCTAAATAACACCGAATGTAGTCAGACTTCAGTGTATTTAGGTGAGTTTTGACGCTTTGTGGTTTGATATCGTCCACAGAAGAGTTTGCATGGCTGCCGCACATTTTCACGGCAGCGAAGAAGTGTGCGTATATTTACGCAAACCTTGACGCAAAGTTAATTTTTATACATGCCGACTTTTGCATAAAATATGGGACCGCACATTTTTGGTGCGCACGCACGCTTTATGCATGAGGCCCCTGGTTATTAACTTCTACACCCAGAGGCCATGAACACATAGATGCAGTGATTATTGTACAGATTTAATGAACACAATGCTTTGCTTTATCCTCTTCTGTAAACATATTTGACTGTTAAAACGTTAAAAGCTTAAGTTTCTTTAAGTTTCTAAATCTGGCGTTGATGAAAAAGGAGAAGGTGAAAAATCACAGAAACTATTGAAATGAATTATAATAAACTCAGCCTTTCTTCAGATGCCTTTAATGTTACATTTTACTGCCTGTAAAAAGAATTCACCCCTTAGATGTTTTACTGCTTTTACAAATTGACAAAAAACTTTTCACTTTAATGTCAAAGTGAAAACTGATTTCTGACAACAGAAGAAGTGATTGCATTAATATCCACCCTCTCAGTGTGTATTTATCAGCTGGCTCTCTGTGTGGATGGCTCTCAGGCTGCACTTCTCCTCCATTCTTCCAGATAAACTGCTCCAGCTGTCAGCTTGGTGATCAAACTTTTTAAACACCTGCCACTAGTTTTCTATGGGACACATCTGGACTTTAACTGGGCCTTTAGAAGGACACAAGTCTGCTGCCAAGAAGTATCCCCACAGGATGATTCTGCCACCACCATGCGTCACAGTGGGAACAGTGTGTTTGTGGTGATGTTTAGTGAACTTTCTTCCATTTAGCCATGCAGACTCCTTCATGACTTTGGCAAACTCTGACTTTTCTTCAGTAGTGTCTTTCTTATTGGAACTTCCAGAAAGCTCTGACTGGTGAAGAACCAACAGTCAGTGTAGTCATAGTAACCTGGTGTCCCCTCTCACTAGTGTCATATTCCTTCTTGATGATTTAACTTTCTTACATTTCCAAGCATGACAAAACAATGGCTTCTTATATATTGAACTTCTTCACATGTAAACGGATGTGAGTGGAGGAGTCTGTTTTTGAGATTTTGAGAGTATGGATTTGATGACATGTGTGTTTTTAATTTTTTGCATGATTTTTACAAATTTTGTTATTGCAGATTTTAGTATCTTTACAGTGTTTGCATCCACTGTGGACTCAAAGGAGATAGAAATGACAATTTCCCTGAAGGAGAATCCCAAAGGCATTCAAAAACTTTCCATATATACAATATTTTTTTTTATTAATATAGCTATTTCAAAGATATTACGAAGACAGCTAATAGTCTGTCTTTGTGAATTATTTTGAAAATACAGATGTTGTACTAGTGCAGCTTCCTGTTGGAGTGGTGGGATTTCTGAAGACTGACTGGACTTGTTGTGGCTTCCGAATCTGTTTTCATTTTGGACGCAGTGTAACTGCTGTCACTGCCTGTGATGGGTGTGTACTCACTGCTGAGGCCGAGCCGGGGTGGAGCCGAGCCGGATGCAGTGTAAATTAGAAACAAGCCACATCTGCTCAGTGCCTATATGTGCTCCTGCACTGTATATTTGCTGGTGTTTTTAGTTATGTTATTTGCAGAAATCAGTTTTCACTTTGACTTTGGAGGATTTATTTATTGTATTTATAATGACTTATTTGTAGGAACAATAAAGAGGTAACACATCCGAAGGAGTGAAAAGTTTTAGTAGGCACTCTATTCAATGTTTTCAGAATCTTACCAAAACAATATTTGACAGCTAGTAAAAATTTGACTTGAACTTTCTCAGGAGGATTATAGACAGCAGCCTGAGACAGGAGCAGGATGATAAGGTCAGTTTTTAAACTTATTAAATGATCACAGAGTGTTTAGTCGTGAAGTTTTTAAAAATAAATACCTGTGATTCAGATTTGCATAAACTAATCTTGGTGTCAAGTTTAAATGTTTGAATCCTACAGTCAGGTGGGATGCTGTCTGTTACCGAGTACAATGAAAACCAGTAAACTTTGAACCAGGAACAGAACTTGGTTAGCAATCACTCTCAGGGCAAAGTTAGTTTATTCTTTGTCAGGTAAAGAGAGCCAGCATCCGTCAGAGAGAAATAATGAAATATACAAACGTGAATTTACACCAGCTTTTTTTTTCTTTTTTTTTTTGCCACATTGTCTTTATGGCCATTCTGTACAGTGGAGTGAGTCCCAGTTTATGTACATGTTGGGTACAGAACCTGGACAGGAGGCAATAGTGCATTTTGTTGTGTGATTGCATGCTCTCCTTCAGTCTCTTCATTTCACTTCTGCTCTTCCTCCTCCCCTGATTGGACCATCAGCGGACTTGTGGAGCATAGCCCTCCTTCATCAGTCCCTCCTCATAATCAGTCTGGCAGAGAATCATGTTGTTCTTCAGGAAAAATTTGTCTCCCACACAAAACCTGCAGAGAAGCAGAGGACAGGAGGCACTTAGATGATCATCAAAGCATGAGTCCCATCATTAATGCTCCACAGTGGACCTGAGTTACTGCTATATTAGCCAGATGGTGGTGCTAACTCAGCCTCAACTTTTGTGACCTTGATTGTAATCACTGTGTATGACTGGTAGCATTATGCTACCTTTCATAAGTGACATTTTTACTTCACTCTCTCTGCAGGTCAGTCATACTGTCAGTTCTAATTCCAGCTTTCAGGAAGTTTTTGGTTGTAGTCAGGCTCACAGCCAAGCGAGGCAGAGAATTTCTCTGCTGTTTACACAGATCGACTGAGCACTTCTATTTCGGAGGGAACAAGAGTTGAATTTCTTTCTTTCATTATTTTATTATTCTGAAAAGATCACTAATGATTGCGCCAGTTTTAAATGATTGCAATGTCCATAAATCATGAATTTTATTTAATTAATTGTGATAGTAAAGACCTTTCAGTTTAAGGTTAGAAATCTTTGTCAACGTATGCACAAACCTACAGTGTGCAGGAAGTTCCAGGAAATAATAAAGGCTTTAAAACTTTGATGATATACATTTATCCCTCTGATGCATCCCTGAAATCTTTTTCTCTGTAAGCCCTCCTGAAAAAAAAAAAAAAAAAAAAAAAAAAAAAAAAAAAAACAAGTATTTGTGTGCATAAAATTTTATCATTCAGGATTTCACTAAAATCTGATGAAATTTGATAAATATTAGAGCTAAAAACTTTAAATAAAATGTCTGCTGAACATTCAAGGGTCCAAACTTTTCCAAAATTTTTTATTTCAACTTTCTTTATTGAATTTAACAGCTTGACATTCATTATTAATCATTAGGACAATGAAAACACAATGATCTCAAATAAGAGATACAGAGAGAAAAAAATGAAGCTGGTTTCTCTATAAACCCAACCCACCCTGAACACACCATGATCCGGGTCCAAGCACAAGACTAACAATGAGACATCCAGTCCCTGGAAGTACACACACTCTAACACTACATACACACCCACACATGTTCCAAAACAGACAGGAAATAACAAAAGAAAAATCAACAGTAAATAAATGAAGGAAGGACTACTCAATAGAAATAAACAAATGCTAACAATTATGGAACATTTATAATAATTAAAGAAATACAAATAATAAATAAATACATAGGATAAAAGGGCCCACAGATAATATAGTTTTCCTCTGTATTAAGGAGCAAAGTGGTAGTGGCTACTAAAGACAGAAATTGTTTCCAGGTCTCCATAAATTTGTGGGTAGAGCCGATGAGTGTCAGCTTCACACAGCTGTGAAAGCTAAAGTTTTTCCAGTAGAAAACTTCTCTCACCCAGTTGTCATAAGACAGAGCGATGCTTAGTTTCCACATAAGTAAAATAAGTTTGAGAACCAAAAGAGTGTTGAATAGACCCTCTTTAGTCTGATAGGTAGAAGTAGAGGGTTTTTGTTGTCCATCCATTTATTTGTATCTTGATGTGGTGCCTTCTTTATCAAAAGCTTTCACTCATGAATGTCTCATCTTGTGACTCTCATATCTTGTGCATGGTATTAATAAACCTGACAGTGATTTTTACCTGACACTGTTTGGCAATCAATATTTACCCCCACAAGACTTTCAACTAGTGTATGGACAACATCATCCCAACCAAGAAGTGTTTAACAGCTGAATGTCAATGACAGGCTTTAAAATCTTAGACTGCACTGTACATATGTCACAGTTTAAAATATATTATTTTTTAATGTTACAAGCTGTTGTTCCTGACAAACAGCACAGGTTTGGTTGTGTTCAACAGAATTAGTCTGAGGATCCAAGTTGTCCTATGTGAAGTTTTTCCCGTCATCAACACTGACCTTTCCCTTTTGCTGTCACCCAGCTGGGTTTCCTGTGCCACCATCTACACTGACCTTGACCCTCCAGCTCTTCCGTGGCCTCCGGCTCTTCAGGGCTGGATGATGAGGCTGGGCGACAGCTTCATTGATTAGCTGTCCCCAGGGCTGATCTGTGGCTAACTGCTTACAGGACGGATCCTCATATCTGCCGCCTCCACCCTGTCCTCTATCACCTCAATATGCTGTCTGTGTTTGAATTTAAGAATGCAGGAGTTCAACTTTTAATGCTAAGGTAGAGGATGCTCAGATTCTGGACAATTTAAAAACAAAAGTAACAGATATAATAAAGTAAGATATAGGTCCACTGTATATTATATTTTTACAAATATGAGTCATCCTTCTTAATGTTATGGACAAAGTGGGGAAAATGAATTGAAAATTGGGTCTCTTCTGCACAAGAAATGAAACATAACTGTTGAAGCTTTTCCTTTTCTCTTCTCTTTGAAGCTGGCTTATCTGAAAATGTTTCCTCCACAGGGGGCCAGCAGAGGGAAGCATGATAGCTTTAATTGCTAATAAATAAATGTTAACATTCTTATCCAATGCTTGACTGGTGGAAGAAGAGATGATGAAATCAGATAATTAACAACATAAGGCTTCCATTACACATTGGAAAAACTGACATGTTCATTCATACACCTGTCACCACTAAAGAAATTGTGTCTGTCATATATTGTTTATATTCTATTGTTTCTGTTTTCTTTGTAGTAATGATTTCGTGTCTTCTTGATGTGTCAGGTTCTGTTAAGTCCAACATTAGGTCCTTACCAAATGTGTGTCTTACACACTTGTATTGTTTTTATAAAATCATTACCTGCGGAATAGAGGTAAAAAAAATAAGTAACACTTTATTTGAAGTGTGTATAAGATAGGGTTGCCACCCGTCCCGTAAAATACGGAACCGTCCCGTAATTGGCTGTTAAACGTAGTGTCCTGTATTGAACCAATATGGGACGCGATTTGTTCCCTATGTGTATGCGTAATAATAAAGAAGTGGTCCCTGAGTACTTCATATAGCAGGCTGCCCCAGTCATTGTTTGACTCACGGTGTTGGTGTTGCGATATTGTGCCCAATATATTCTGAGATATTTTGGGTACTACACACTAACCGACACGCCGCCACAGCCC